TATATATATATATATAACTTGAAGGAATACCATATTTCAGGTAATGAGATAAAATGGTTTCATAGTTATTTAAGTAATTTAAAACAAGCAGTGGTTTTGCATGATATTCTCGGCAAATGATTATAAATGCTGGAGTGTGACAAGGATCTAGCTGTGCTTGGGCCAATGTTGTGTTTAATATGTGTAAATAATATTACCCATTGCATGAGCCCTCTTGCTGTCTTTTTTGCAGATGACAGCATTATTCATCCCCATATTGAGCTTGTCATTAACAATAGTCACTAAAACTGCATAACTTGTCCAAGAAATGGGTCTTAAAGTTTAATCAAGAAATAAAAACAGTGGCTTATCACTATATTTTCAGAATTTTTGACAAACTTGTAGTGAAATTTCAGTCACAAATTCTCACATATTTTGAGAAATGTTGACAGTCAGAGACATCACAAATTTTCACTGATATTTTCAGAAATTTTGGATAAAATCTCCTAAAATACTGTAATTTTAATGAAAAAAGGACATTTGAGTAAATGGCAAAAATGTTTCACTCTGTTGACATTTCAGTCACATTTTCAGCTCAGACATTAAGTATCAACATATAACTGGTGGTTTATTAAGTGCATAAGAATGTGTTCTACCTGAAAATATACTGATTATGTTTACATGTTCTCTACTTTTTTTGGTCATGTCTGCCTGTTTTTAAACATCTGTAGAAATAAATTAAAGAAAACTGATATACATGTGTTTTCTTCAAATTAATATGAGTATATATTCATCCGTCCACATCAACAACACTAACATATACATGTATTTTAACTCACACCAATATTTCTATTTGAATTATATAGTTAATTAATTCTTCAGAGAATATTTTCTATGATACTGTAATAAGCCTGCATTCCATATGGAAAAAAGTGCTTATGGATTAAAGTTGCAACTTTATACCATGTGGAATTTTCACTTGCTGTGAAGTATTTATGGAATTGATATGGAATAAATTGTATGATTCCATATGTTTTTCATATGGATTCCTGAAGTATTCCATACAGAATCCATGAGAAATTTCTGTACAGGTATGTTTTTCATTAACAAAAACTTAACAAATAATCCTGAAGTTGTTTTTAATAATATCAAACTTAAATCTGTGGATTCTCATTGCTGTCTAGGATTAGTACTTTCATCAAATACCAAATGGATGTCACATTTAAAGTATTTTAAAAAAGCATCATCTTGAAAACGCTAATCTATAGAAACTAAAACATAAACTACAAATAAGCAAATTTTATCAAAACTGTAACTAAACTTATATCAGACCAATCTTTGGAATATGCATGTAGTCTGTAATGGATGCTTCAGGAAAATTGGAAAAGCTACAGCTCAAAGTGGCAAGAATGGTACAAGACATTCAAAATATACTAATAGGCAATCTATCTATTTTGAAACAGGGTGGGAATGTATGCAGTCTAGAAGAAAAAGACAAAAATTACAAACACTACAAAATTAAAACAAGCCAAACTGCAGACTATCTCATTGAATTTCTCCTTCCCAATGTGTCCCAACACATTATAACCTTCAATGGCATAAGAATCCAAATACAATCACACACATTATAACCTTCAATGGCATAAACAACCAAGTATAATCACACACATTTTAACCTTCAATGGCATAAACAACCAAATACAATCAAAAATATTATTATAAACAACCAAATACAATCACACACATTATAACCTTCAATGGCATAAACAACCAAATACAAACACACACATTATAACCTTCAATGGCACAAACAACCAAATGCAATCACACACATTATAACCTTTAATGGCATAAAGAACCAAATACAATCACACACATTATAACCTTCAATGGCGTAAATAACCAAATACAAACATACACATTATAACCTTCAATGGCACAAACAACCAAATACAATCACACACATTTTAACCTTAAATGGCATAAACAACCAAATATAATCACACACATTTTAACCTTCAATGGCATAAACAACCAAATACAATCACAAATATTATATCCTTAAATGGCATAAACAACCAAATACAATCACACACATTATAACCTTCAATGGCATAAATAACCAAATACAAACATACACATTATAACCTTCAATGGCACAAACAACCAAATAAAATCACACACATTATAACCTTCAATGGCATAAAAAAACCAAATACAATCACACACATTATAACCTTCAATGGCATAAACAACCAAATACAATCACACACATTATAACTTTCAATGGCATAAACAACAAAATATAAACACATACATTATAACCTTCAATGACATAAACAACCAAATACAATCACACATATTATAACCTTCAATGCATAAAAATCCAAATACAATCACACACATTATAACCTTTAATGGCATAAACAACCAAATACAATCACACACATTATAACCTTCAATGACATAAACAACCAAATACAATCACACTCATTATATTCTTCAATTGCATAAACAACCAAATACAATCACACACATTATAACCTTCAATGGCATAAACAACCAAATACAATCACACACATTACAACCTTCAATGACATAAACAACCAAATACAATCATACACATTATAACCTTCAATGGCATAAACAACCAAATACAATCACACACATTACAACCTTCAATGACATAAACAACCAAATACAATCACACACATTATAACCTTCAATGGCGTAAATAACCAAATACAAACATACACATTATAACCTTCAATGGCACAAACAACCAAATACAATCACACACATTTTAACCTTCAATGGCATAAACAACCAAATATAATCACACACATTTTAACCTTCAATGGCATAAACAACCAAATACAATCACAAATATTATATCCTTAAATGGCATAAACAACCAAATACAATCACACACATTATAACCTTCAATGGCATAAATAACCAAATACAAACATACACATTATAACCTTCAATGGCACAAACAACCAAATAAAATCACACACATTATAACCTTCAATGGCATAAAAAAACCAAATACAATCACACACATTATAACCTTCAATGGCATAAACAACCAAATACAATCACACACATTATAACTTTCAATGGCATAAACAACAAAATATAAACACATACATTACAACCTTCAATGACATAAACAACCAAATACAATCACACATATTATAACCTTCAATGCATAAAGATCCAAATACAATCACACACATTATAACCTTTAATGGCATAAACAACCAAATACAATCACACACATTATAACCTTCAATGACATAAACAACCAAATACAATCACACTCATTATATTCTTCAATTGCATAAACAACCAAATACAATCACACACATTATAACCTTCAATGGCATAAACAACCAAATTCAGTCACACACATTATAACCTTCAATGGCATATACAACCAAATACAATCACACACATTACAACCTTCAATGACATAAATAACCAAATACAATCACACACATTATATTCTTCAATGGCATAAACAACCAAATACAATCACACACATTATAACTTTCAATGGCATAAACAACCAAATACTTTCTGAGGCAGAGGACCTAGCTCACATCCTATAAGAATTAAAATGAAGGGGGGAAGACTGTGCCAATCCAACCCTCTTTTCTAGTCTGGACCTGCTGGGCAGATTCCAAATCTTGTACTGGAAATGATGGTAGAGTGGGATTTGAGCTGGACCTGCTGAGCAGATCCTAAATCGTGTACTGGGAATGATGGTAGAGTGGGATGGGAGAAATCTGTCTGATCCCTATCCGCATACCATAATGCCTCTGAGTGATGACTGTTGACAAGTTGGTGACTGGCACTAGATGACCAGAGACTGGTACAAGGTGTATATTCATGATAATTGACTGGTCACTGACCATGCACAGTTGCCTGGCTTGTCTTCATCACTCATCACAGTGTGGCTCTGCTCTAAACCAGTTGAGAGCAGAACAAACCACACCGGAATTGTTGGGTATGGTGCAGTTCCTCTCACTCAGAAGGGTGCAACACACTACCATGAGACAAGCAGTGCACTTCCTTCCTTGCAGAAAACATCATCAAACTACTGTGAACATAAGGGGTATTCACATTCTCCATCCTTTCTGGGGAAGGTGATCATAAACTCCCTCTTTACCCATCTCTGGAGAGATTGGTTGCATGGACTGCTGGGTCCTTGGATTATTCATCCAAATGGAAGAATATCTTGAATTGGCTAGTCCATTGGTACAAAAGGTACAATGATTTTTACATGTACACTTTATATATGTGATTGTCCCAAGGGCCCTTTTTGTGGCCACACTTCCCCACTGACTGTGTCCTGATATTATTCTCTGAAATAAATGTTCTATCTGAAAGGGAACAATAATAATAACATTGTGTGGGGGGTGGATCACACAAAACTCTGTGCACTATATACACCCAGTGTTTTTGCACAAGGTAAACAATTGCTCTCTGAATTATAATTTTTTTGAAACGAACAATAAAAATAGATTAAGAATAACAATGGTGTATTTTTTTCACAAATGAAACTCACCTGTTCATATGTACTGTGTGTACTATATACAGTGCATTTACACCTCACCTGTTTGTACTGCATGATGTATACACCCCACATGCAAAAATAAACAAGAATTACTAAGGACCAATTTCCTGTCTTCTAAGTCTCCATTCTTTTAAAAAGGAAGATGTTTGTTTTTTTAACCTAGATTTTACTCTATAAGCAATATATAGAAACATATGATAACAATATGTTGTCACACATGGTTTAAAACACAATAATGCAAAAAAATATAACACGAAAACTGAGGTCTATTACTGGGAATTAGGAATTCATTTTAAATGCAGTTTGACTTATGTTGTATTTTTATATAACACACAATAACCAATTGTATTTGATAAATAAGAGGGATGTACCCTAACCCCTAATGGGTGAGATACAATGTGACAACTCAAGAAGACAATAACAGAACTAATTAACTGCTCTGGTGGCCTAGTGGTTAGAGTGTTCGCCTCGGATGTGGGAGGTCGTGGGTTTGAGTCCCGGTCGAATCATACCAAAGACTAGCTGCCTCACTTGATGCTCAGCATTAAGAGGTTAGTGTTAGGATTGGTCGGCCTGGTGTCAGGATAATGTGACTGTGTGGGACATCATGCTATATGTCTGTGGCATGATGCTCCAGTGCTAGACATCACTAAAACTGCCACACTGCAGACATCGTAGTGTTATGACTAAAAATTTTTTAAAGCTACATTAAAAATCATAATCACATCACATAATCACATCACAGAACTAATTACTGATTAAGTCCAGCGACTACTAGCATAAGAACAGAAGACAAGATGGATGAATGTAAGAAATATAGCTGAAAGGAGAACCAAATGTGGTTTAAGTTCAAAACAGGCAATTTGTTCTGATTTTAACTACAGAACAATATTAATATGGTGTCTATGAAAAAGATGACTGTATCTGTACATGTGCAGTGGATACACAAGTATGTGGAAGTATGTATGAATGATTTAGATTTTTAGACACAAAAAAGTAATATTCCATGTAATAGAGCTGGTTGATGTGTTGCTGCTATTAAATTTAATTTTTGATCATCAACATTTTTAAACACAATAATTGCTGCTTTCACACAAATCTGTTCCATGTCATTGAAATATATTTAGTGTAAAAGTATTAAGTTATCCAAAGATGGAGTCCAACATTAAATGCTATGTACCAGTAACATGGTGATGTAACAATTAGCTCCCTTAAAAGGGCTAGTAAAATGAAATATGTTTTCTTGCCAAAATCTCAACAGAAAAATGTTTAGAACTAAAATTTAATTTATCTTATATCATTGCATGCATTTATTTCTATCCATCATAACATTTCAATAGGCATAACATTTTGAAATTTATCAAGAAAACTATGCTGTGATATTATGTGATCATTATGCCTAAACTTCCTTAATAAATGACACTGAAATTATAGCATCAATCTCGAAGACTAAGCCATGGATCCCCCAACTAATATCTTTTGTGTTCAAATAATCATATATGCTGCCCAGAAAATTAAAGATTCTGTTTCTTCCACAGGACCTCACCATAATGTACAATAATTACATTATCAGGCTATTGAAAACAAACTTACAACAATTTCTGATATTTTATGCTGCACTTGGAGGCAATTAACACATTTACAATATCTGACATCTCTCCAATGACTGCTAGGACAAAAACCAGATCTATCCAGTAGGCTTATTTGCATGCTTTGTTTTTGAAATCCTTACCTGTGTTTGTTCATAATGGATAAGGCTATAGTCTTATCAACACAGCCAAATCTGCTATTAGCACCGATAGTTTTGTCAGATGGGTTTAAATTATCTGCAACACCCTTTCCATTTACAGAAAGGAGTGTTTAACTAGAGATCAGATTTACCCAAGAAGGTATGTACATTATATATTAATAATGAGCTAAAGTAATTACATTGCTTTCATAAGTTTGTAAATTTCCCTTGAAATTATTCTCATACACATTGGTTTTGTTTCTGGCATTGCTAGCAAGGACAGCAAAAACCTCAATTATTTGATCCTAGGAATAAACAGGTATATTATAAAAGAGTTACAATAGGTGCTATTTAGCTAGCATGTGCAGGAATTCTTTGGGATGAAATTCCTTTAGCAGTTAATGCACCAGATAGATGAGCCTGTGCAGTCACTCTTGTAGATATTTCGATAGGGCAAGCAATATTATGACCCATCTAGGGTCAGCACCAAATGAAAAGTACAGTGTGCTGACCAGAAATACAAATTTTTGTTTGCCTTACAGGTTTGTCTGATTTTCTTTAAGATGATCAAGTTTTTCCAAAAATGCTTTTGTGACATAGGATAAAGTGGGGATGTATATAAGAAAAAAGCAAACAACATTATTAAATCCTATTTTAATATCAGCCTTTGTGGAATTACTTTTAGTCATATTCAGATATGATTTGAGAGGAATTATTTATTCAACTTATTCATTGGAATTACAAACTGCTCGTTGAAATTTTGGACTAACACTCTTTTTGGGGGATTTATGTGAATTCATTCTACAACATTCTGGATTATATTATTATAATACATAAAGACTGTTGGTATGTGAATTCGTTCAAGACTATTGGTATGTTAGCACATTCAAGACTCCTGGAATTCATTCGGATTATTCTATTCTTTTGGACTCGAGCAAGAGCATTTAGCATTGTTTTGGATTTAATTCACAATACTATAAGTTCCTCTTAAATTTGCATTCAATATCTAGGAGAATTATTTGTGGATTTTAATATACTTGATGGTTTTTCTTTTTCTGTTACATAATTTAAAACCATAGAGCCATAATGCATATATAATAGTACTATTATATTATAGATAATAGTACTATTATTATATTAGTAATAATAATTGTACTAGCTATTCTGACAACCAAAACAATTATGTTTTGCATTTTATACATGGAGTTCTATCCAATCTCAAAGATACATTGCTACTGATCACAAAATAGACAATCTTAAAATTCATTCATGGCAATGATATATAATAAGTTCCTGAACACATCTCTTTGATTTACCAAAGTAATAAATGATTTGGGCTGTTCCATTTAGTGTATTTTACCTATGCAAACTATGCAAATTAGCAACTGACTCTATTTTATTTACCAAATTAAGAAATGACTTGGTGTTTCATTTAGCGTACCTTTGCAAACTCTGCAAATTGGTAACTGACTCTCCCACACCAGTGTTCAAAGAACTTGTTAGTGAGGCTATTCTTGTCCAGTTTGTAATGGTGGCTGATTATCACTAACCATCTTACCTATGATAATAACCAGCTGAATAAAATGCCCTACATTCAAAAAAGCTCTACACAACACTTTCAAAAGAGCTCTATACAACACTTTCAAAAGAGCTCTATACAACACTTTCAAAAGAGCTCTATACAACATTTTCAAAAGAGCTCTATACAACACTTTCAAAAGAGCTCTATACAACACTTTCAAATGAGCTCCATACAACATTTTCAAAAGAGCTCTATACAACACTTTCAAAAGAACTCTTTACAACACTTTCAAAAGAGCTCAATACAACATTTTCAAAAGAGCTCTATACAACATTTTTAAAAGAGCTCTATAAAACAATTTTTACTGCTTATAGACTACATGCTATGAACACAAAAAGTGGTGGTCAAAAATTTCTCTCTTTGTTTTATCTAAGATTTTTGAAAATCTTTTTTTTCAAAACACAACGGTGTCAATGGGTTTGGGAGTCAAAAGTCATTGGGTTTGGGCATCAAAAGTCATGTGATTCATTTGAAACAGCTTATGCTGAAATGTGTAGTGAGCATGAAAGAAAACATTATTTAAAGCAAGGCCATTCATAATCTTAGAGTAGGAAACATTCAATTAACTTCATTGCTAATTTCAGAAATTCCATGTGAATAAACTGTGCTCTAAAATAAATTTTCTATTTAGAAACAGTGGGCCACACAAATAAAGAATATATATATATATATATATATATATATATATATATATATATATATATATATATATATATATATATATATATATATATATATAATATCTACCTATATCAAACTAGATGACTAAAAGAATAAACATGTTTGGCTCTTTTGGTTAAGGAAATAATGATAGGCATTTAATTTAATATTCTTAAAAAATTGTCTCCCTTGATGCACACAATTTCACACTGTCAGGTTAGACAATTCTGTTATGTAGATCTGTTTATTTATGAAACTAAGACACATAAGGCATTTTTTGTAGTCACCACAAGAGTTAATAAAATACAACAAACTTTTTAAAATTTATAACCTTCCATTTCATACATCTGAACAATAATGTGTTGAATCACAATTTGAGTCTGCAAATGGATAATCAAGTTCCTGTGTGAATATTCAAATTCTTTGAACTGATTTCTATAGGAATCAAAATATGACTGATATACATTATATATATGTACATGTACCTTACTCTCTGGTATCCACTTATTAAGTGCATCTGACCACTCAAGCTTCTCTTGGTTTGCATTGATCTGTTCATCTGTTGGATCTTCTTCATCTGCATGGAAACCAGACCATGCCAGTTCTCTTCGTATAATTGGCATACTGCGAGAATCATTTTGGGTGGCAGATTTTAGGGGACCATGCCAGCTTTTGGATTGAGAGACATCTTTTAGGAACAGGTTATTTCCAGCTCCTGCATATCCCTGTGAAGTAAATATGTATATACAGTATGTATGTATTAAAATATGTATATTCAGTATGTATGTATTAAAATATGTACATACAATATGTATTAAAATATGTATATACAGTATGTATGTATTAAAATATGTACATACAATATATATGTATTAAAATATGTATATACAGTATGTATGTATTAAAATATGTATATGCAATATATATGTATTAAAATATGTATATACAGTATGTATGTATTAAAATATGTATATACAGTATGTATGTATTAAAATATGTATATATAGTATGTATGTATTAAAATATGTATATACAGTATGTATGTATTAAAATATGTATATACAGTATGTATGTATTAAAATATGTATATACAGTATGTATGTATTAAAATATGTACATACAATATGTATGTATTAAAATATGTACATACAATATGTATGTATTAAAATATGTACATACAATGTGTATGTATTAAAATATGTACATACAGTATGTATGTATTAAAATATGTACATACAGTATATATGTATTAAAATATGTATATACAGTATGTATGTATTAAAATATGTATATACAGTATGTATGTATTAAAATATGTATATACAGTATGTATTAAAATATGTATATAAAGTATGTATGTATTAAAATATGTATATACAGTATGTATGTATTAAAATATGTATATACAGTATGTATGTATTAAAATATGTATATACAGTATGTATGTATTAAAATATGTACATACAATATGTACTAAAATATGTATATACAGTATGTATGTATTAAAATATGTACATACAATATATATGTATTAAAAT